CTAGTCCTTTTGACCTATATTAATGAGTCAGCTGGGAATTTAAAGGACAGAGCGGAAATGCTTAATTTTAACTGCTGCACTTCTTCCTCCAAAAACATGTAGATTTTAATGGGATTGATTGCTCATGCATATTGTTTAACTGCAAGGGGTGGATACTTTTTCTTTTTACTATTTAAACTAACCCATTAATGTAGCTCTATAACAGGCCCAAGTTATTCAGTGTCTTAAAATTCAGAATGAAATCTGGAATACTCTACCTCTACCTAGTAGCTAGGAAGGCAAGAAGAGATGAATATGGAGAAGAATAGGTAGCTTTTAGGAAGAGGACGTTCACTTGTAGAAAGCCAGTCCAGAGAAGCTCACCTAGAATCTACATTATTTAGGTCCAGGAAAAGACAGGCCAACAAACAATCCCAGGCTTTCTCTTTTTGGGGGAGGAAGCATATTCAACCTTTTCTCCTTTCTTTGTTTTTACAAATCCTCTGAGAGTTTGGAATTGTATTGGCATTTGCATTTTTACCATTGTGGGTTACTGTCTAAATTTTGATGAATACATCTCAAAGCACCATGCTTATGGGACACACAGAAGCATTACAATTCATTAAATGGCCACACTTTTAGTAATATTAATTCATTAATGAATTTACACAGAATAAAGAGGTCAGATTCCTGCCAAGAGGATCTCCACAGCTGTAATATCATATACATTCAATCCTGTGACTCATGCGTGGTATTTGGGGAGAATCTCCATGGCATAAAACTAAGCTATGTCCACAAGGAGAAGAGCCACTCAGAAACCTTCCCTGCATTACTGGAGAATCTCCAAGACTGTTCCTCCTGCTAGATCACTGTTGCAACCTGGGAAGAGAACAGGGGAGGTAGAAGTGGGGGGTGGACAGGGAGAGAAGAGGACATGGCCCTGCTAAATCCAGATGCCTCTCTATTCCCAGCTGTGGGAAGGCAGAAGGGATGCATTGCTGTCTGATCCATTTAGACCACAATGCATTTAGGGGGAAGCAAAAGGCCAAAATTGTATATATTCCTTTCAGTCTGGTGGGCAGGCTTTGCATAGACGGATCCCTTCATCTACCAAATATCAGTCCTTTAGGACTGTCCTGTCATTATCAGTAAGCTTATTATCCTTGAATAAAGGGCTGAGGTAGAGAAGGTAGGGAAAATGAAACACAAAATCAGGTGAAGTAAATCAGGGATGGTTTTGCAAAGGATGAATGTTCTATTTAAGCAAATGATCTTCATTTGGGTTTGTATTCACATATTGTTGCACTTTTGGTACTTTTAATATTTGTTTCTTCACACACACGCAGATTGGACAGAGAGGGAAGAAGACATCCAGGAGTATCAGCCTTTAAGCCAGCATCAGTCCACACTCTGGTGAAAGCTCATCCATGCACACATTCAGGTGTGCTACACTTTGGGCTACATTAATTGAACTACCACTTCCAAATCATGTGAAGCGCTTGCTCCCTTCTACTCAGCACTGCTTAGGCCTCTATCCAGTCCTGAGTGAATGGTTTAGGAAAGATGCAGACAAGTAGAAATGGCTTACAGGAGGGGAAACTAAGATGATTAGGGAGTCAGAAAAAAGCCCTAGAGGAGAGACTGAATGAGTTGGACACATTTAGCCTTGAGAAGAGAAGACAAGATTATAGCACTCTTCAGGTTGTTGAAAGGCTGACAGAGAGAAAGGCCAGGATCTCATCTTGATCATCCCAGAGTGCAGGGCATGGAATAATCAGGAAAAACTTCCTGACTGTTAAAGCAATAGGACAAAGGAACCAATGACCTAGGAGGCTGTGGGTTCTTCCTCACTATAGACATTCAGGATGCAGTTGGACTGCCATCTTTTAGCGATGCTTCAGGTTGGAGTCCTGATGGTGCTCTGGTCCATTCCAACTCTACTATTTATGATTCTTTGATAGAAGAAGTCCTATAAAGACCTTGGATACATGCAGCATACATACTGCCTGGGTTCAGACAACATTACAAGCCATAGTTGTGATATTATTGTTGTCATTTGTTATTTGTTATTGTTGGACTGTCATGCTATCTGAAGCTATTCATGATATTCCACCATCTTTTGTTTGGTCTTTAGAAATCATGACAAGAAACAATGCTTTGCTCCATGGTTTGCCATGTTGCCTGAACAAGGCATATGTCAGGAATCTATTTTGTGGGTCGGAAGCCATTGGATGCCCTGGGCTCAGCTCCCCAGACTTCCTTCTTGTGACCCTGAATCTCACTTCCTGGTGAGTCCTCTGCCTGCTCATCTGAATGCCCACCAGCAAGCAAGCCAATGCAAATGTGGCACAAACAGCGGCCTTCTTCAAGATGTGTAACTTGTCATCTTGTATTTGTGTTGTGCGTGCTGCAGAAGAAGGTTGCCACTTGCACACTTGGGGTTTTGTGAGCGTTCATGGACTTCCTCCTAGCTTGATTTTCTCTCCAAGTGAAGGCTGAACATGAGAAGTCTCATGGATGGAAGAAGGCCAGATACTAGTGAGGATTGTCACAACCCTAGCATGAATCCAGGATCATGGTTTCCATGAAGTGGGCATCATAGACTGGAAACAATGCACCATAGAATTGAATTTCAGGAACTCTTACTGAAGAGACACATGCCAAAAGCAGAAGGGCTGAGCAGGGAGGATGGAAGCCATAATGGCACAGAAATCACTTGATTGTCTCTTGGCTGAAGTGTGGTTAAAAAAATGAACTATGGTAATCACCCAGGGTTTCTTGTTGTGTTGTATTGTTTGAGCCCAGCCCCTGTCTACCTTTAAACATTGTGATGTGAATTGAGAACAATCGTAACATACATATGGTCAGTATAGCAAAAAAAAAAAAAAAAAAAAAGAATAAATTCAAGCACAAAATATAATCAGAGTGGTTCTGATACTTACTTGCAATACTGTAGGCATTTAAAAAATATCAGAGTGGTGTTGTAAGAATTATTTACCTCTGCTAAAATTAACAGTCATAACAACAGGAACTCTCACCCAGTATTAGCAAATTATGGAATTAATCTTGCATATCTTTTCAGATTACAGGCCACACAGAGATGGATCAAGGATGTTTCAGAACCTTGCACAATACACATCTGTAAGTCCAGTCTGTTTTCAAGGCAGTCCCAGAAGCAAAATCAACAATTCATCATAAATAATGATCAAAACACAGGAATGAGGGGAGACACAATGTCACTGCATTGCTGTTCACAGACTTCATGCTTCTGTCGCTAAGAAGCAAACACTTTTCTGTGATAAGCGAACTAGATATGCCTGTCAGATTTTTTAACCAAAATCTAGGGATAAGGAAAATATAAATACTGAAAGGTATGCGGTGTGTGTGTGAGAAAGCATGTTGGGAAGGGTAAAGAGTATTTAATCCATTCCCTCTCAGCCATTTTTCCACTTAAAATCTCCCTGGCTGCTTCCAGACACCACCAAGCAGAATCCAGTCGTTGGTATGTTTTGTCCTTATCCACCTGATTACATATGACCTAGCCAACAAAATCTTATGCCAGAATACATGGGCCTGGCTGCAGTCCTATGTATATATATTTAGGAGAAAGACCCATTGAGCTCAGGGGGTCTAATTGTAATTAACACAACTAGATTTATGCTATTAAAGGACTTCTTTATGTGACGAGTTTAACCCACTGCTGTATGAAGGTTTCTATCAGTCCTAGAGGAAATCAACCCTGACTGCTCTTTAGAAGGCCAGATAGTGAAGATGAAACTCAAATACTTTGGCCACCTAATGAGAAGGAAGGACTCCCTGGAGAAGAGCCTAATGCTGGGAACAATAGATGGCAAAAGAAGAAGGGGGCGGCAGAGGATGAGTTGGCTAGATGGAGTCACTGAAGCAGTTGGTGTGAGCTTGAGTGGACTCTGTGGGATGGTGGAGGACAGGAAGGCCTGGAAGAATGTTGTCCGTGGGGTCGCGATTGGTTGGACACGACTTCACGACTAACAACACCAACCATTTTCCAGTTTCACTGAGGAGGGAAAATGCATCCTTTACACAGGGCTTTTTTCTGGGGGTTGTTTCTTGCCCTTTGTAATCTAGCCTATTAACTGTTTATAGCCAAGCTGGCACTGTTGCATAACTGCAGTATAGAGGTTTTCTATCTATTCAGGTGGCTTTTGTCCCAGTTTGTCCTGATTTAAAATTTAATACCAGATTTCCTCACTCTAAATGCCACTGAAAAAGTCTCAAAGACTCAGGAGAGAGAGGCCCTGTGACCTCATGAAAAGGCACCCACTTCTGTGAGTGAGGGATCACAAGCACAGCATGAATGCCTCATTTAACAAAGCCATCGTCTCTGTTGTGTGCCAAGTTTCCTCATTTTTGTTCCATTATCTTTATCATGTTACTCACCAGATCTGGGATATAACTAGAGCCTTAAATAAATGATTAATTATCCATTGTCTGTCTTGTAGGCTAGTCCCAAATTTGGAATATAAATACAATGGGCCACTGTTGCTTTTTCCCTAGCCTTTTCCAAACTTATTATCATGCATAATACTCAGCACCAAAAGCACCCTTCTTTGGTTCAGTGCAGATACAATTTCTAAGGGTGCTTTGAGGTGGAGCTCTCCTACTGCTAACCTTCAAAATGATTGTGCAGCTAGTCATCCTTAACAACTTTGTTTCTGGTAAGAGGAACTGTTGGAGATGGAAATAAACTTTGGAAGCATCTTAAGTCTCACACCTCCCCACTAAACAAACAAAGAATAAGGCAGGTCAATAATGCACACACAAACACACTCACAAACCATCATTAGGAAGCAGCCTGAAACTTAGTTATCATTACTATGTCCTGAGACAGGACTGTGTGTCTCACTCAGTAAGTAGAGTCATGTATAAGTAATAGTATGAGGCAAATGGGAAAGCGTGTCCACATGCATCCCAAACAATATACTGCATCGAAAGTCATAATGGAGTCATCTGCAAATCGACAAGCCATTGCCAAAGCCTACCTTTGACTTTCCCCAAGGACAGAGATTTGATGGCCCTGAAGTCAGCCTCTGAAGAAAAGTTGTGCTTGACTTTGAGAACCTGGTCAATCTGAAAGTGGGGAAAGGGGTCAGTAAAAGCAAGTCCATTATTAAGGCATGCAGAGAGAGCCCTGATGATTTGATAGCACAAGCGTTGTTGCTGAAGCCCAAGTAATAACTTCCCTTGCTGGGCAACTGTTTCCATGGATAGCAAAATTCCAATGCCTTCATTCAACAGGAAGGGCTAAACAGTATGGCAAAATGTCTTCATAGCATTGTTTTCAAGAAGCCTTCAGTACAGGGATCTTTATATAATATAGACAAGTGCTTTGGCACCCACAGAGCATCTACATAACTAAGCTCCGAGTGCAACAAACACAAAGCAAATCTTTGTGGATCTTCCACATCCAGGTTAGCCCTATGCTGGGAAAGGTATGCAGAGTATTATAAGAGTGACAGGAGACTAGAGTGGCAACTTAAAGTCTGCCTTTGTCTGTTTGTTCAAGGGCAAGCAGGTACATACAATGTATAACTGCTTATACAGGTTTAGCACCATTGACTTTCATTAGGCTAATTTGCTATCTCGTGACTGGATTTGATTTGGACTCCTAAGCTATTTGATGGGGTATATCCATATCTATTTATCTCTATATCTGTATCATACATTTCTACATACTGCACTGCACAATTCACAAAACAGCAGGATATAGATTCACACAGCATCAGCATCATCATCATCATTACCATCGTCATTCAGATCTTCATTAAAGTTCATCAGTCATTCACTTCGCATGTGTCATAATAATACACAATTAATTCCACTGATTACAAATTCCTTAATTTGTAATTCAGGAACTATAGCAGAAGCATTTTATTTTTGGAAAATGTCTTCAAAGTCATTAGAACAACCCTGAACTGCACTCTTATCTAATGAACTGAATTCTATTTATTGGTGTCAGAATTCTTTGAGTTCAATATAAACCTTCCTATAGAGACATAAAAAGCTGCTTCCAGTTAGAGCTGTCCTGAAAATATATTCCAGTTTCTTGCATGGAGAGTTGAGTAGCCGGCAGAATGCTGGAGAGAGGGATAACAGAAGACACACAGACAACTCCCTCAGCCACCACTCAGTTATAAGGTAAACTCAAAAAACAATTCTAAATGACTCTTTTTCATGTGCAGGAAAACACTTTCATAAAATTGGAGGACAGATTTTGGTGCAACACTAAAGGAGCAATCTTTTTACCCCAAGTCAATGCCTGAGAGGCTGTGGGATGTTTCAAATTCCCAATTCAACTGTCCATCCCACTTGCCCCTCATAGCTAGCATAGAAAACACATGGCAGCCATTCTGGAAGGTGACCTCAGAGAGGACATTGGCATGGGGAGAGGAGACTGGAGAGAGCAGGTACAAGCTATCCTGAAGGCTCCCTAGCCTCCTTCCCACTGCTTCAAAAGGCTCCAGCTTGATGGGCAAAATAGTCAAACAGTCCATCCAGTGAAATACACAGGGTGAAAGGACAGGGTGAAGGGATAGAGAAGTGCAGGTTGCCTCTCCTTCTCCTCCTGCTCTGCACGTGGTCCTAAGTCTCTGAATTCAGGGCATACAGAAGTTGCAATAGAAATGCTCCCAGCTCAAGCCATAATTGCTGTCTACTTTAAATGAGCCATGGTGTTCATTAGCTTTTCTGCTTTCCAGCCCAGTAGTAATAGAACTATTCTACTCACAGTGATTAATGGTACTGGGGATGACTGATACAAATCTTGATGGCTTGCTGGTATTTTATTTTACTCTTACATTAGGTCCCTCTTGCATTTGAAAGCATGTCATGCAGCAATGTAGTCTTGCTTGTTCCTTTGACTGTTGATCTGTGCCGCTCCAACACTGGTCAAGACACACTTTGTAGTCCCTTTTGCTTGTTCTGCTTCAGCTACATGCCAAGCCATCATCTAGCCTGATCTCATTTTTGTAATGTGCAAGTTGAAGAATGACTTGATTATCACATCTGCTAAATGCTTCTCCAGTTTCACAGGTTAGGAAGATGGAAAGAGGAAGTCTTTTTTTCAAGCTCCTCCTCACCTCCTCTCCACCCCACTCTCCTATCCATCCTGTTTTAGCCACAGCAAGAGGCAAACACTGGCTTGATTTCCAGACCTGCCCCTGCCCCCTGTTTGCTCCTTTTGCAGGGTGGGGGTGGTAAGCTAAATAATCTCTCCCCTTAAGACTGGTAGAAGGAGGAATGGCCTTATGCCTCAAATTCTATGGGGCCCATGTCAGAAGTTGCCAGGGTGCTCCACATTGTAGGTGGAACAAGATTGGCTTAGTGCTTGGGTCTATAAGAAAGCCAGGCAGTGATTATTCACATATATGAGAGGTGTAAAAGTAGGCTTTCGGGAATAATACTGCACTATTCATGCATGTCTAGCAATTCCAGGTTAGAATTCCAGCCTTCCCCAACCTCGGTCCTCCCAGTTATTTTGAACAATAGGTTAAGCTATAGAAATGAAATAAATGAAATGAAATAAATGGAGTGCAATGAAATGAAACTAAAACTTCATCCATCATTGCCAATTGTCAGGGATTGTGGCAGTTGCAGGCCAAAATACGTGAAGACCCCTGAAATGGGGAGTGGGGGGGAGGACCTTCCTGTTACACATCTACTCTATGTTTTTCCAAAGCAGGTCTAGTGTACCCTAATCTGGAATATATTTCTATCTCTTTCTCTATCTTGGCTACCATTTGGGGCAGGAACCAACTTCTGACCCAGGTTTTCTTAAGGTCTCAAGCTTTTTCTCCACAAGCTACAGTAGGTCATGGGCAGATAACTGTGAAAGATGCTCACAGGCCACAATGGAAATGCTGCTTTGATATCCAAGTTGCTGAAATAAAACCATAGTCTGTCCTCAACTACTGCATAATCTAGAATGTCATTAGAGACATTCAAAAAGAAAATGGACAGACATCTGAGTGGGAGGGTGTAACTTGGTGTCCTGTGACCGCAGGGGGTTGAAGCCAATGGGCTTCATTGCCCCTTCCAACTCTGTTCTATGATTCTGCATTTCCTTGGGTCTTTGGGGAATCTCTTCTCTCTACCTTTAAGCTATCTGAAGCCTATTTACTCTGAATTCACTGGAAGCTCCTGAAATTTAAGTTGGCTCCTATCTGCATGGCAGATCAAGTCTCAGGCATGAACTAAACTGGGTCTACTGCCTGCTGAAACAACTTTGCTGAAACTGCAGTCTGAGTTTAGTCTGGAAGTGAAACCATCTGGAACTGTATGAACACTGCCTTGGGTTGCATGGAGAAAAGCCAGAATATGAATGAATGTGTGACTGAGTACCTACCTAATGGCTATGATCTTGCTTGAACAAGGAAAGACAACATTTTGACTCCCACGTTTACATGACAAGAGGTTATGAGTCAATGGGGAACACACATTTGTGTCTACATATGCACACACACACAGCTGGAGAGGAGAAAGACAGAGGGACAATGCACAGTTCCTACTCTGCCAAAAGGCCTCTTGGTAGGATGGGAAGATCTGGGATTCTTTTTAAAGCCACTCCTGCATTCCTAGTCAAGATGCCATTTCACAGATGCTAGATGCTGAGAACCAGCAATCTGTTTGCCTCTATTTAGTTGCTAGCTGCTGATCAGCTGGTGGGGCTTCCTGCCCCCCACCCCTTACAGAAAGGGCCGGAGGAGCCCACAAGCTGTTCCCCTGTGCACTAGAGTATAGCCAAATGATGAGAAAGAGCATGATCAGGCACTGGGAATTCATTCTTTAAAGACATCAAATATCCTTCTTTTTTGCCCACCAAGGACAGGACAAATTGCAGGAACCTTTGGAAAAAAGAAGGTAGTAGGCAAATTGATACCTGAATGGTCAGTTCTCTTCCATCTCTGTTTATCTTCACATGGTGCAGCTCCCGGTTAGCAAAGTTTCCAGAATCAATTGTAAAAATAAGGGATCTGTCCTTACTCAGTTTGTATCGGACTTGCAAGCTTCCTTAAAAAAAGAAAAAGAGAGAGAAAGAGAGAGAGAAATTTCTATTTTTTAAAACCTTCCATTGGTAAAAGCACTAATGTATTGCTGTAAAGAAAGAGCATACATGCGGGAAAAATGTAGAAAAAAACTGGGGAGAAAGGAAGACCATATGAGCAGCTTTGTGTTCCTTGCAAAAGGAAGGAAGGCAAGCTATAAATTAGAAAAATAAACAACAAATAGAGAAAGGAGACATTGCATTTTCAGTGAGCAAAAATAATGTACAGTGTGCACTGGATCCATCAAATCATTTATCTGTCTAGAAAACCCTTTGTTGGAACTTTGTCCTTATCTTATATAACTGTAAACCTTATCTTAATATAGTAGAACCTCAGAGCAGAAAGATTAAAAAAAATCAGCCAAGAGCCCTTACAAATCACTCCATGCAATCCACATATCTGCACACTAGTGTGCTACAGAGGAAGAACAAGTACAAGGAGACAAGAGATTGTAGGGCAAGACATATGTGCAGAAAATTAATGTCCTCTAACCGTGTGGCTAACTACAAATGGAATCTACAGCTGTTCGTGACGTTGGGCATTATAGTACGAGCAAAGAACATGTCTGTGGACCCAAAATGCAGTGGTAATTCAGTACTATGTTATCTCCTACAGGCAAAGTACTTACATGTTTACAAATTACAGTTTTGTTATATCTTAAGTGAATCATGGTTGGTTCAGACAGACAGAAAGAAAAGGGAACATTAGCTGTTCTCAAACAGTGAAGCAATTCCTTTGATTTCCTTTTTTCACTTTCAGAAAGAACACCAAATACAAAGCTCATGAGGTGAACAGAGTTGCAAGATCAGAAGGAATGTACAATCTTACAGTTAATATACTGGATTTCTAAATGCAGGGTCTTCCCCCATTCATTTAACTGTTAATTTGATTTCTATAACATCCCATAACTGATGCTGTCTGTGCACTTCAGAAGAATTAAAAGCACAAAACACAACAGAATAAGCATAATTTAAAAGTAAGCTGTGGTAACCAACCTAACATGTAACAGCAATGTAAAGATTTTAGAAGCCAGCAACAGATTTAAAAACATTAGAAAGTGGAAAATTCCATGCCTGTGAAAATAAGCTCTTCACCAACAATACCACAGCCTAAGTGTCTGCTAGACAAGCTGCTCTGGGGAGGATAATGTCACAACCTGAGGGCTACAACAGCAAATGCCTTCTTCTTAGGGGCTACTAGTCTCACTCCATTTGGCAGAGGCACCCGGAGAAGTGTTTCTGAAGATGGTCTTAGGCTCTGGATGGGTATATATGGGAAAACAGTCATCCTTCAGGTAATCTGGCCTCAAGCCATTTAAGGAATGGAAAGGGAATACCAGCACTCTGGATTTTACAAAAAGGCAAATCCAGACAGTCATCTTGGATATTGGTGAGGGTGTTCGAGGACAGGCTGGTAGGCATGTCATGAGTGGTGCCGTCTGGAGCTGAGGGTCAGACTAGATGGCCCAGGAGACTCCCTTCTGACTCGCTCTGTTCCTATGTTTCTATGAAATGGGAAGTAAACCATTATCAAGTGATTCTGCTAACATGCAGACTAGCCCTAAAACAGGCAGTATGTGAGGAGGACAGTTTTGGCAACGCTACATAGATGCAAAAGGAGGTAAAGGATGGTTTTGATGAGGTTCTCACTATCACGGGTGATCGGCCATGGTGGCTTGTTTCCTTTTCTGCAAGTATCGGTTGCATGCTGGTGCAGGTCGCCCTGAATTGTGAATCTGGCTGGTATGGATTGTTAGGGTGGGCAGAAAACTCAGGTAAACTATAGGCAGTTGTTTGTTTGCTGCTCATTCCCAGCCAGCCATGCAATCCAGATTCACTTAAACAAACAAACAAACAAACAAGCAACAACAACAAAATCCTACAGTAATAGACCCCTACAGTAAATTAAACCAGGATGAGTTGCTGAGTTGTACGATCAAGGGCAATCTATGGACAAATTTGCCTCAACTTGGGTGTTTGGTCTGCAGGAAAACCTAGAGTTAAATTTATGCTAGGATTCATTATGTTATATAAAGCTGTGATCCTCTTTAAGCTGTCTTTTAAATTAACATTATTAACAGGACCTTTCAGCCAATTTAAAACAAACCTTGGTTTGGGGAGGGAACCTTTTAGAATCTAATTCTTTCATTTCTGTGCCAGAATGAGAAATGCATACCAAAGGACTCTTTTGTGTATTCCTGAATTTAGATTTTCTAGTTGCTTGGAGTTCTGTATCACATTATGCCTCCAATAATCATATGGATGTAACCTATTTCATTTTAATTTTTGTATCTTTTCTGCCTTATAATTGTAATTAAAGCAATCACCACATTATGGATTTGGGAGCTTTATTACAGTTGTGGGTTGCTTTGTCATCCTGTTTTTTGGTTTTGAATATCTCAGCACACATGCAAAATATTGTTTAAACTATGTCTTGCTGCCAAGTTATTAGCTAGCCAATTTCAGAGAATCAGACACAGCTTATTTTGCAGCTCTTCTAATTAAATATGAAATCAGGAAGTGTGTTCCAAGATCATCAAACTAGGTTTGGTCAACTGTTATCTGATTGTGACTGGCAAAGGTTTTTTTATCTGGCCTTTGGGACATTTTACTACAGTATTGTTCTGCCATATTTTGCTCACAGTTTCATGCAGAAATTTCAATCTTCATAGATTAACGTTCCACTTCTTTTTGAGTTTTGTACTCTAAGCCTAGACTATACATGCTCACAGAAGGCATGAGAAATCATTTGCATTCATGTGTGTGCATTTACTGTATTTCTTGCTTGGGTGTGCTCTAGAAAAGTAACTGATGTGCACCGGTCTGCTAGTATGTATGTCACAACCAGTCCAGCACATTTAGACACTTGGTTAAAATTGACCCATGGTTAATTTCTGTCACTCGATATATGTGTGCTTCTGTTTTAATTCTCTACTATATCAAGGGGCTACTTCTGTGATAATAAGCTACAATCCACTTCTAGTTATCCAAAGAAGAGAATACAATCTTCCATAATTATTAGTTTACCTATATGGTACAGATTGCCAAGAACAGTGGAAAGTCTTTACACCCAGAGATAATATTTTCTTCCTAAAGAGGAGAACAGGATGAGGCTAGAGTACATGGAAATTTGAACTGTGTTCACAAACCTTTCAAAATGAAGCTTAATCCAGACATGTGAGTTGGGCAACAGGGTGATAAACTAGGAAAATATGAGTCAGATCTTGTGGTTATTAGGAGATAGACTTCAGGAAAAGTATAAGGTACATTATGAATTGAAGAGAACAAGTGAGCTCTGAATGTTGTTGTGAAAATGATCCTTAAACATTCTTAAATTTCAGTGCATTTTATCTAATACATGATAAATTATCCAACATACAGTTTCCCCCTTGAACTTCTCTTCATACAAAAAGCTTGCTATAGTCTGAAAACTAAAGTGCTAATTCTTTTTGGCTATGATCTTGCCCTTTCCCTTTGAATGGGCAGTTCTGTCCTCCCCAAACTATATTACAAAGTTTGTTCTTCAGTTTCAAAGATAATCAGCCATGTAGTATGTATGCCTGCTCTCCATATCCAGCTATAGGCCATTCCAACACAAGACCTCTTAGTGAAGTGGCTACCTATACATCAGCCCTCCCAAAGGAATTGCATCACTCAAAAAGGGTAGCCCACTAAAAAGTAGGCCATGCAGCCAACAGACCATCAAATAGAAAGGCCCAGTGGGTACAGAGTGTGTGCTACAGTCTAAACTCCCTTGGCAACATGGAATATTTGCAAAGATCTTGGGAATGATGCCAAGATGCCCTCCAAACAGATACACAAAGTCAGGAGGGTAACAAGCAGTATGAGAGCCTCAGCATTGTGTATATACTCCTTGTAGTAGCCCCATCTGCTTAGTACCAGGTTTTTACAAATAAGGATGGGTTATCCTTCCAATTTCTCCCAGTTCTGATCTTCTTTCTTTCTTTTCTTTCTTTTTTCAACCTTCTTTCCAGATGAAAATTTTAGCCCCCTGCACTGGCCAAATTCAATATGGGGAGAACAGATATACGTACCTGCTTGCCAGGTAGCTGTTAAATGCAGGGAGCCTACAGGGGCAATGCTACCTGAAACAGTAGCAAGCCCAATTTATAGTACAAACATGGTTCAGTGCCTGAGGATTCACACCCAGACTGTTAAAAGTTATGCCCTGGGCCTGGACAGTAAAAACTGAAAGTTTGGGAAGATACCACATTGATTAAAAAAGATCTCAAGTTCTTTCTGTCCTGCTTATGAAGAAATTTCTGAATTTAGTCAAGCGGCGCCCTGACTGTGGAACATGCTCCCCAGGGAGGTTCACCTGCCGCCTTCGCTTTATTCTTTTTGGCATCAGGCAAAGACCTTTGTATTCTCCCAATATTTTAACAGTTAATTGGTTTTATGCTTGTTTTTATCATTAGCCATCAGATGCAGTGTGCTGTCTGTTGTTGTTACAATTGCTTTGTTTTTGGTTTGTCTATTTTTTGTAAGTCATCCAGAGACTTTTAGTATTGGGATGGAACATAACCATGTTTTAAAAAAAAGTTCAAGTAAAAACAAATAGCCTAATAAAAACAATCTCACTCATTCATATTCACAATACCCCAGTGGGATTGAAACTGCAGCTCCCAAACTATGCTTCATAATAAATCAACTAGGGATGTGCAAGGAATAATCCATTCTGTGGGGACAATCCATGAGATTCCTTGGTTTCAGCTTCCTATACTCAGCTGTGCTTTGCAGAGGCTCAGAGTCCTAGTTCCTGTTTCCTTGCTCACCGGGAACCAAGCCCCACACGCTGCACAAGGAGCCCCATCCTTCTGCATGCATTGCTTCCCCAAAGGAGTGTGCTCCTTTCCCACCCTCTCTGGCACTTCTACCAGCATCAGCAAGGAGGGAGAAGGTGGGTCATTGGCAAGGATGGCCAGCACACCCACTCCCAGCAGGC